ATTAAACACAGACTATCCTTTGCTAATCAGGAGACTCTCGGTTATGTTGTGGTGGACTGTTATTACTTCACAGGGAACCTGGTAAAATTAAGGTTGTTCAATTAAAATTGTAAAAAATAAACAAAAAAAGCTTCTTAGCAAAGAGTAATTTCTCAAGCAAGAATATTGCTAGGACTGTCTGTGATTGGTCTGAGTGGGGAGGGGGAAACTGAAAACTAGTTGTTATTGGCAGAGAGATTTGGAACTCTTTCTTATTGGTCTATTAACTAATTTACCGCCTGGTGATGTCACCAGGTAGGCCAAAACTCTATCCCACCAAAACAGGCAGAAATTTCAGATGCAGGATGTGAGCAAAAACCAACAGCTCTTACACTAAAATGGCATTATCATCATTGTCACAATTTCACAGTATTATTCCAACCGCATAGTGTGTAAATATATATAAAACAAAGGAAAATCACGTTTTTGACTGCAATGGGCCTTTAAATGATTTGTAACGCTACATAGGCCTACATGTGTTTAGGGAGAACGTCAGGTGGATTGAGAAATCAATAACATGTGTTATCCTGCCATCTAGCGGTAGTATAAATTACCCACAATCAACAAGCCTCTCTAGCTGTAGGCCTATACCGTCAGAACGATAAATGACTGTGGCACTAGCTAGGTTTCCATCCAATTGGTGACAAATGTTCATTCGAATATTCTAAAATCCGTATAAAGAAAATATGCGCATTTTCCCACCAGTGCTGGGTTTTCCCCAAACTAACTTGTTGCGGATAAAAATCAGTGCGTGATGACGTACACAACATGTACTTTTTCACTTACACTTTCTAGTACCAAATACAAATCTAAAGTTCAATGTGTTTCCATAGCATTTTCAACTCTACTGATAGTTTTGTCACAAAAACTGTTGCGTTAAATACTGTAGCAAATGTGCCTACTCTGGTCTTGTCATGTATGCTCTAGCCAACAGCAAGCAGATAGGCTGTAGTGCGCTGGGAACGCTGTGCAGGTAGGCTAGTCTACATAATGAGATTATTATGTATAAGAGCGAGAATATTTTTATATGTCAAATGGCAGTCAGGCATCGATCATTACGTCACCAGAATCAGACCCTTGATATTTATTGGAAAGGCGCATCAAGATCAATGTGCACATTCACCACCCTGTGAAATTCATCATAATGATTTAATCTGTATGATTTCCCAAGTCATAGTTGGAGGACCACAGATCATATCATCGCGTGACTACAAGTTTACTTCCATATGATGGTTTTTATATCAATATTTGCATTCTCGCATAATTCATTTTACCAACACAAAGATCTCACCAGGTCAAACAAACAAATTATGTCGGCATTTATCAAATTGTACCTAAACTTCCTGTTTTCATCACAGCTGTCATGGTTTTTATGTTACTCGCATAGAAACTGTAGATGGAAACGTGACTACGGATGACTCGAATGATTGCACGCATTTCAGTGGGCATAATCTTTATGAGTCAGTTCACCCCTTCACCTGAAGATGGGGTCCTTGATGCGACTAAAGACACGACACACAAAGGCCCAGACCAAGAGCCTTTGGCAACTTCAGGAGCTCATGTTGAATTCCATGAGGAGTCATATAATATGGCAATCCTAATCCCTATTCGAATGTAAATCTTACATTCTTGTACTCGACATTTTTGAGAATTACATTTTTAACTCATGAAAACTGTAATATTTGTAATTCGGACCCTGCATGCCCAGCACAAGAACACTAATTTGTATTATTATTTTGTGTTCAATCAATGGGCAGAATAAATAGCATTAGACAAATGGCAAATGCTTTGTTAGCGCGCGTCCATATCACATGATATTCAATAATACAGAAATTAATCAATAACATAAGGTACATTTATAGTAATGAACAGACCTACCAAGCAACAATAAATGGTATGCTAATAGGTTTCACCATTACAAGAAAAACAAAAAACTGAAATGAATTGGAAAATAAACCCCAAATTAAAGCCAACCCATCCCACACCTCCTACCCGAGTGACCTGTTTACTTTAACTCCTTTTAACGAAAGATCTTACATTTTCAGCTGCATTTGACGACATTAAGGTTAAGGTTCTTATATTGGCACCATGATAACTAGCAGTGGACAATTCCAAAATAACAATATCTAAAAACGAGAAGACCCATTGGAGCCATGCTAGAAAGAGCTTTAAAAAAAATGTCTAACAACATTTATACTGATGTGCTATCATTTGCAACACAACAGGAGAGCAAGGCACATCGACTCAGGTATATATATCTATTTTTTAAACTATGAACCTGAAGACAGGTGTGGGGGGGGGGGGGGGGGGGGGGGGTAATTTTACATCAGCACTAAAACACCTGAATCTCAAAATCCATCATCAAGACCTCGGTTAGCGGCATTTACCTTCCTACCACTTTAGCTGGCATCCCTGACTTTGTCCTCTGATTGTCTCTGATGAAAGACACTGGGGTTCCCAAATAAAACCGAGAATCTGCAGAATAAGAAGCTATTAAGATAATTAGGCTTATAATATTTTGCACCAAAGGCTGCAGATATGTTTCTCCATAGAGAAACATTACAAACATGTGGTTTAAATAAGAGCAAGAAGACCTTGAATTGTTTGTAACCCCTTCTGAAAAACGTTTATAGAAAACAATAGAAAGTGTATAAATACCCTGGTGATCGAAAAATACATTTTTGTAACATAGAACGAAACAGGAAATTCTGCCAATAATTTGATTATGGGTTTGTATCATTTCAAACGAAAGTCCAATGCTTTCTTTATGTATCAAATAACCCTCAAAGTACAAACTCAAGGGTTAGGCTACATATCACGATTGTTACATCTATTTGACAATGTCAATGTTCTTATATTTTGAACTAACTTGCATTCAGAAATTGAAAGTCTAGTCAAGAAGCGAAGAAGACAAGGAGGGCTGCATTGGGAATATCGAACCAAGCATCCTATTCAGAGAAGTCGGTCTACCTAACTCTAAAAACCAATGGCAACCTCATCCTAAAAGCCAGCCTTTGTCAGCCTTAAAACCCACCATGTTCTAAAACGCCATTGTGCGGTTAAACCTCATAAATGTGTAGCAGGCACTGATTAAACATCACGAGAAATGAAACACTAAGGATTTTGTCTAGGTCCCTTTTGGAGGACAGACAATGGTCCATTCAGAGGGAGACAACCACACAAAAAGAGTGTTTTAAGGGTTGATGCTGCGCGCGGAGGGGTTCGGTCAGTCCCCTCCATATGTGATACAAGGTGGCCCGAGCGCTGGGGACAATAGACCAGGTGACAGGGACGATGCGCTACTGGGTCGAAGGACGAGCAAACAACATCATAGGGGTCGTGAATGCGTGAAAAAGAACCCATGTTGCCACAGAATAACATATCTTCCATTCCAGTCAGCCCACTAAGACATATTTCACTTCCATCAATGGAATAAGACAGGGAGGAAGTGAATGAAGTGAAGTGTTTTACCCCACACAGAGGCAGGGACCTTTGACTGCTTACAATATGGATTCTAGAATAAAGTATCAGAAATTGAAATTTGATATTTCAGTGTATGGGTCCAATCGTAGAAGCATTTCCCCTCCTAAAATAATATTTTCACAGAGCAATAAAAGTGTGCGTCCAACTCTCATAATTCCCAATGAATCGACCAGTTAAAGGGACCATACTAATATGATATTTATCTGTCTACAAGCTAATCTTCCAATGACCAATGATGAAAGGAGAGTGCAACACACTGAAATGCCATACACTATAAGTTGTTCTTACTATTAATTACAATATTATTTTCTTATTTAAATAGGCCCATCGCCATGCAGCCCAGGACTAGGCCTATTTCGGTTTCATTGTCCATTCTTTCTCCTTACTGACAGATAAAACTGCAATAACGGTTTGTAACAATAATTTACATAGAAGTTTGCAGAGTTATGTATGAATTAAATTAATGCTTTGCGTTGCTAGCACACCAAGAGAGAGCCCTATAGAACGAGAGGGAGATGAGCTGTATTGTCTAATGTTTACCAGGTTTTGTTATGCTCAGTGAAATCCAGTCTATAGAGTGTGATGGTGTTTGCTCAGCTTTAGGGTTCTGAACTGTTTACATGATAAAAGCTAACATTTCTTAGTGTTATTTTCTTATTTCTATAGGTTCCTCTAAACTAAGCCTTTCTCTCCTTTCTAATATAATTAGAAATAACAAGCACTGGTAGGATGCAACTAGGCCTATGTCATAGACTCTTAGCTATAGTCCTAAATAGTGTCCGAAGTTGTTGGATAGGATGGTGTATCCCTCAATACTCAATAGCCTAGCTTTGTTGGAATACATGTAGGCCTAGTTGCATGAGGACATCTGAAAAATTGACAATATGTGCAAACATTTACAAGATTTATTCGTAATTCTATAAAAACACAAAATATTTAGGCCTACCAATCAACATAACGATTAGGTTCTATAACATTTACAGACAAAAGTGAAAAACACAATTTTCAAAACAATTAAATTCTACTTCCCTCGTACTTTTGACAAATATCTTGGTGTAGATTCGAAATTCATAAAGATAACTCAAAATGGAAATTACTGATAAAATAGGCCTACGCAAAGTAAACACAACAATTATCCAATTGGATATACAAAACTTAATCTAGGAGTAGAATGTCCATAGGTCTACCACCAGATTACAATAAACTAATAACGACTTTAATCATTCGAGAATATAACTCAATAGGCTACATTTAATAAAATACCAAAAATAAAATATGTGCAAAATAGCCTACTTCTCATACAACATTATTAGTGGGAGTTGAACACTTAAGTACCTCGAAAAATAAGGGAATTCAGAAAACATATTTGGTTTTAAGTGTTCCTCTATGCATTGTCCTCTTGTTGATATTTTCAAAGTCACTTAAAATAACTGAATTGAACTGAGTCGTTCAGAAAGTCTCTCCAAGCAAAGGTGTGTCTAGATGCTGCCGGACTGGACAAAATGCTGGTATGGGGAAGGTAGACCGAACGGCGACGGAAGCTGGAAAGACTGGTACCCCAAACTGAAGGGTGTACCCGTCGACGTGGTCGGTCTAAGACAGCCTCCTTTCTCCGTGTTAATGAAACAGGTCTGATAAGGCTTGCCATCCCGAACTAGGATGGGTACCACCACTCTTCGCAACATTAGCGATTGGTTTATGTCTTGCGACGCTCCCTCTGCTCGCGACCTCTTCATTTTGTACCTGTGGTTCTGGAACCAGATCTTGATCTGCGTCGGCGTTAGGCTGAGGAGATGGGCGAGCTGCTCCCGCTCTGGTGCTGACAGATAGCGCTGCTGACAGAAGCGCCTCTCAAGCTCGAAGGTCTGGGCTTTTGAGAAGAGCACACGGCGCTTCCTCTTCTTCTCGGCCTCTGAGTCAGGAGAAGACTCGTCTGACTTGTTTGGGGAGACCTCCAGGCTGCCCTCATCTGAAGCTGAGGAATTAAAAATAGTGTTTTTAAACTGATCAATGAACCATATAAACAACTCACGAGATACAATATCACCAGAAATACATAGCTACAGAGATGTATTTTTTCCCAATTTGAATCTCCTTATAAAGTGTATATCAAATTATAACATTATGCTTAGTTAATTGGATGGATACCTTATTGGATCTCATAAAACAGACATGTTGGAAATCGCTGTGGATGATATTAAATTGTGTCAATTTAAGCAGGACCCATATAATCCAGTTAGGTTTATGTGTTTATATGGATTTGAAGTGGTTAGGCCTATCTGTTTCTATGCTCAGGTTTCAACCAAGGGGACTTACAGAGACAAGGGCTCCGGTCGCTGTCCATCCAGGAGGAGTAAGGGGAACTGGCGCAGGAGTTACCGGGGGAAGGCTGCGCTGACTTGGCGTCATGTTCAGGCAAATCCAGGATGCTCCTCACGGAAAAACTGAACTTTGCAGCAACAGCCATTGTGTCCGGAAAAAAACAGAATCCTTGTGCGTAATAACTATCCAAAGGAGAGGATACCGTTGATATAGGAGTAAAAACGATGTATCCACTCAAGGAATGGCGAAGCGCGCTGTCAGAGTCAGAGACGACCTAGAACACCCTGTGTGTGTGGACATGAGGCAGTGTTTATATAAACAGTACTTCACGCCGCTTATATATCCTCCTCGAGGACGCCAAGTACCTGAATGATTCGAGTGCCTTTATCCAATGATGGTAGGTGTGAACCCACAGAAGAATAACCCCGTTGCCTCAACAATGGCGGAAGGAAACACTCGTCATCATTACAGATTCGTCCCGTATCGTGAAAAGTGGTGACCAGATAATGGTGATTGTTGCAGCTGAATCACGTCTTGGGTGGCAAGTGACAACAGAACCCCCCCTTCCCGAAATAACATGTCCAATATTTGCATACAAAGTGAGCAATTAGTGTGAGAGGCCCCTGAGTTTGTTTAACTAATTTATTTATGGCTGTGCACCCTATCCATTACAGGTATTTTGAAATTACATAGAATAAGCATGTTGTATATCATGTCCCTGAAATAAAAATGCATAACAATATCAAAAGAACACAAAAACAACACAACAATAGCAGTTATTTTTGTCGTATATGTAAAAAAATTATGGAATATTAGGCTATTTTCTATCATTCATAATTTCCACTTAGGCTATCAATCTCATTTTAAATTTCCCAAGAAAATGTTATATTTTTTTCCGTATCGGCTTCACAAAGAGTGACACTCCTGCAACATGACCATAATCATGTGAACCAAAATGGAGAGAAGACAATGACCAATTTCTAATGAGTAGAAATAATGGTGTTATGGCAATTTCTCTTGTGACAGACAGGTACATTCTTAGAGGCTATCCATATGGACAGTGTGAATTGAGACAGATATGTTATTATTTTAGTATTAGTATTATTTTAGAGATGACACATGAATCACAGGAGTGCTTTGGAGCAGTGAATCAAGCTATTTTCTGATTCCAAGATATGGCACGCCCTACTTGGACACTGTAACGGAAAACTGTAATTTATAAGGTAATTTGGGGTATTATCAACATCTTGAAGAACAATCTGGCCTTAATGGCCATGTAATCTCCACCCAGCACAGCCAGAAGAGGACTGGCCACCACTCAGAGCCTGGTTCCTCTCTAGGTTTCTTCCTAGGTTCATGCCTTTCTAGGGAGTTTTTCCTAGCCACCGTGCTTCTACATCTGCATTGCTTGCTGTTTGGGGTTTTAGGCTGGGTTTCTGTATAGCACTTTGTGACATTAGCTGATGTAAAAAGGGCTTTATAAATACATTTGATTGATTGATTGATTAATTGAATAAAATACTCTGGAACGTTTTACTGCAGCATACTGTAAATGATGGTGCCACTTTGGAAGCCTTTGTTAAGGCCTCTAGAAGTGCAAGCGATATAAAACACAAAATATTAATTAACATGCTGTAATGTGTAAACGCTTTACCTAGCAGCAAACGTGCTTGCACCAATCCGTTGTGAAATACAAACCCCTCCCGATGAAGGTAGCATTAACTTTTTGTACAGTATAATACAGTCAATTTTACGGTTTGTCATTACATTTACATTTGAGTCATTAGGGTTAAGTGCCTTGCTCAAGGGCACATCGACAGATTATTCACCTAGTCGGCTCGGGGATTAGAACCAGCGACCTTTCGGTTACTGGCACAACGCTCTTAACCACTAAGCTACCTGCCGCCCCATTACACAACACTTGCTTTGATACCATTTTATATTACAGTAGTTGTACTATAATATAAAATACAGAATTGTACTTTCCACTGAGCTGTCTGTTACTGTCAAATTCACGCCAACCCCTTTACAGTGTAGGTCAAACGCTATATGACTATGGTGGAACAGGTGTCCTTCACCCTCAGTCAAAACACACATTTTATAAAGGCATACAGCCTAGTAAATAGGAGATTATGAAGCAGCTGATAAAGGGGATCAAATATCAACAGCAGATGCACTGATATTATGGAGGCACCTGGAGTGCTGTTTGAGGAAGATGTGGCATATGAAATTCATTTTTTCCGTTCGTTTTGGGGTATGTGTTTAACTGTACTTCAGACTGAAGAGAGATCTAATATTGGCTCTAGTCTCAGACTTCAGATACGTACACGAGGCACAGGCAGGTCCGTGGAGTTCTATCTAGTTCCCATGCCATGCTCTAGACCGCCTCCTCTCCTCTCTGCTTTGCCTTGGTGATAGGGCCTGTCCTATAGCAAGGAGAGTGGACATGCCTCAGCCTCCCATCCCAAGTCGTCCTGGGTGGTCGGCGGAGGGGGAACACAAATACATGCCAACCAGAGGCGGAGAACAAAAGAGGGAAATGTAGCTCCGCGTCCGAGACCCGTTGGAAGCATTTGTTCCAGTCAAGATTTTGCATTTGTTCAGTCCTGCAATAATACGGTGATTGACGCCCCGCCACAATGTCCTTTAACTTTCCAGGATAAATCCGAGCTTGTTCCATGTTGTCATGGTTTTGAATGGGGCTGAATGGGTTGCGGGCAGTAGGTCTACTACCATCTACTGCTGCTCTATGTCTAACACCCGCCAAGTCTGTAGTGTGCAGAAATATTACTTATGCGTTTCCAAACGAATTAAAAAGCCTTATAATTTCCACTACCCAAACAGTTGTTGACCTCGATGATTTTGATAATATGGCGTATCAAAATATAGTGGCCTTTCATTTTGCTTTAATCTTTACGCAGAAAGAGATTGCATGTTTACGCATCGAAATCAAACTCTGAAAACAAGTCTAGTGATAAAAACACGACGGACAACGCTCAATGCAGAATCATGTAGGCCTACAACACACCCTTGAGACATCAGAGTAGCAAGAGAAAGAGGATTAAAAATATATATAGTATGTTTGATACCCCTCCTAAAACGAACATGGAAACACAAATCTGTGCTGTGCAACAAGGTCTTCAGTGAAGAGCCTCTCAAATAAAGTTGACAAACACTAAAGCCAGGATGCAAGAACAGATTACTGTATGCAAGTAGGCCTATACGGTGCCTCAAGTGGGTCAATTTGCAGAGGACTCTTCATTTAAGTGCAAAACTTCGTAAGGCAAAGAGAAGTCAGGTTCAGATAGCGGGAATGATTCTGTCCACAATGACCTCGCCAGCCCCTTAATCTATTAGACCCACAGACTTCATCTTCAGCCAGAAAGGAGAGGAGAGGCCACTCTGAGACCGAGAGCTCTTCACGGCCAAATATTTACTTTGGTTGTAAGACTCTCGGCTGGTTCTAAATCTTCAACAAAATTTGGATTTTCGCATTTGAAGTGTATAGTCCTTTAGGCAAATTTGGTAAGAACATTTAAACAAAATAAATATTTATAATTTAGCCAATCTTATTAGAAACATAATGTAATATGTGTGTAATAATAAAAGGTAAACAATTTATGTTGAAAAGATGAGGCTCAGTTGGTAGAGCATGGCGCTTGTAACGCCAGGGTTGTGGGTTCGTTTCCCACGGGGGCCAGTATGAAAAATGTATGCACTCACTAACTTTAAGTCGCTCTGGATAAGAGCGTCTGCTAAATGACAAAAATGTAAAAATGTAATATTTGATCTCTGCACCTGTCCTCTGGCCCTTTTCTTCAATACTTTTAGAGAGTGTAATCAAAACCTATTTAATTCTAAGGATCTAACAAACACCACAAAAACAACAACATATTTGTGTTAAAAGTGTGCATTAACCCTTCAACGAGATTTGATATTAAAATCCAAAACACTGCAATGCACCTTCCACTGGGCACAGACGTCAGTTCAATGACTAGTTTTTATTTACATTTGGTTGTTGTCAACTAACGTGAAATCAACAAACAAATTCACCATGTTATGGATTAAAGGTTGAAAAATGGGTTAAAAAAAAAAAAGACTAAATCATGCACTGTACATTTCGATTGCCCTCTTTGCCATAGTTCTAAAACTATTTTTTTTTTTAACACATGGCCATAATTAAGAATGTACAAAAAATATAAAGTAGGCTAATTCGACACATGGAAGTTCCTGGCTGCAACAACGCATGTTTGATCGAACACTATGGAATGGGTTAGAGCACCACGACAATAGAGCATTTGCCATGAGAGCATCAGGGTGCTGAAAAAGAAAAGTGCTCAATGGCGCTGCACTCTGGTTTAGTAACGCATAACGATGATATCTTTTGCATAAAGATGAAAGTTGAATTGAGGTCACGATTATTATCTACTAGGCAACATTGTTATTAGGCTATTATTTACTTTTTGCATTGCAAGTTATAGGGACCACAATGGAAATAACTGACTTTTTTTTTTTAATATCCCTGTCACGATTTTAAAATGTATGTACTATGTGTATATGTGTTTTATTAACTGGCAAATAAAATCTCTCTCACATACACTACACACACAAAAGTATGTGGACACCCCTTCAAATTAGTGGATTCGGCTATTTCAGCCACACCCATTGCTGACAGGTATAAAATCGAGCACAACGCCATGCAATCTCCATAGACAAAGATTGGCAGTAGAATGGCCTATACTGAAAAGTTCAGTGACTTTCAATGTGGCACCATCATAGGATGCCACCTTTCCAACAAGTCAGTTTGTCAAATGTCTGCCCTGCTAGAGCTTCCCCAGTCAACTGTAAGTGCTGTTATTTCAAAGTGGAAACATCTAGGTGCAACAATGGCTCAGCCGCGAAGTGGTAGGCCACACAAGCTCAGAGAACGGGACCGCCGAGTGCTGAAGCGCGTAAAAATCGTCTGTCCTCGGTTGCACCACTCACTACTGAGTTCCAAACTGCCTCTGGAAGCAACGTCAGCACAATAACTGTTAGTTTGGAGCTTCATGAAATGGGTTTCCATGGCCTAGCAGCCACACACCAGCGGCCATTGGACTCTGGAGCAGCGGAAACGCGTTCTCTGGAGTGATGAATCACAGTTCA